TCTTTTTGCATGGTTCAATTTTATTAAGAACCCCACTACTTAAGTACCCCTGATATCTTTTGGTTCTGATCATGGCAGGTGAATTTCCTCTCAAGTAAATTTCCCACACTGCTTCTTAGCTAAGAGAAAGAAATAGATGTTGGATTCCTTGCTGAAATAGGTCAGCATCTACTCGCAGCTTAACTCAGTCATGACAAGATGGGTCTCTGATTCTGTGAACCCCTTTCTAAAATTAAAACAGACCAAAGTTTTTAAGGGGAAAATTAGGCAGCATTGATAAGTGGAGCAGCAAGGAAATTAGAAATAATTCAAAATATTTAAAAGGCTAGATTTAGAAGTTAATTCAGAACCAAGAAACAATGGCTGAAAGAGCAAGCTTTCCTCCCATCATCCTACCTTCTTCTTTTAGACTTTAAGTATACTTGCAATTTCCCTGATTAGGGAAGCAAAATAAAGGGCAAGTCTATCTTCCTTTAGATATTAGAAATCTACAAACACTTTGATGAGTTAGAGAGATGGGAGATAAATGGGCATGTCTGACAAATGGAAACGTCCATACTTTTGGTAATAGACCCATGTAAAATCCATGATCTCAATATTTGGGGACTTAGCAGTATGATTAGGGTTCCTTGATGACATCATCCAATGTAGTTCCCATACTCAAAAAGTGTAATGACAGCAGATAAGCACCATCAGTTTGACTCTTCTTCACACCCATCTCCTGCATATAAAGCATGAGATGCTTCTTCTACTCTTATTATTGTTTTTTGTCTGTATTTACTAAAATAAATCCTTGCTGATTTTTTTTCTAAAGAACTCCACTAGTTGGTTCAGCTAAAACCCCCATTCTCAATATCTGATCAGGTTTCTCCCCACCTCCACTATGTGATGTGTGTTCACCCTTTGCCTGTCTTTATCAAGAATCCTACTGGGCCTGTTTAGTCAGGTGCTGACTCCTTATGCTTACTCTATTCAATCCACAGACACCATCCCCCTCCTGGACCATGGCTATAAATCTCCACTTTCCCTTGTTGTGATTAGAATTTAACCCTGCTCAATACTGATACCCGTTTTACTCTCCTGCAACTGTCCTGAATAAAATCTGTTTTTTAATGCTTTTACCGCTGAAAAGTTCTATTTTTCTTTAGTAAGTTACAGACAATCCAGAGAAAAGATTAATGTAGGGAGCAAGCCTAAGGCCACAGTATAGTGGGTGTGGCTGACCCTTGATGACCTTCTTGGACTACTTATTCCTGAGTGTTTTTGATGTTCCTCTGTATCCCTTCCACCCCTAAATCTCATCCCAATGAGTTTCAAGATGCTAAGCATCCTTAAGTTCTAGAATATTCCTAGTGGAATTCATAAGAAGCCGCTTTTTGGTTTTGCAGTTTTAGTACTTCATTCTTGTGTATGCTGGATGAGTATGTTACTACTCAGCCTATAGTCCTAGCCACTGGTCTCTAGCATTACCTGTGCTCTAGTTGTGGTAAATACTTGCTTGATACTATCAGTAAGGTCTTGCAAAACTGGGGAATACCTGTAAGTACAAATATCTCATGTACTAGAAACCCTAATCTCAAATCCCAAATTGTGATTGGTGATTGCCTGGACTTGTGTGGGTTCAGGTTTTCCTAGCATAGCCACCTATCAATGAATTTTGTTAACTTGGGATTTGATTAATAGAAACCAAGATGGACCAAAACATTTTAACTGAATTACACACATTTATTACATTGTTAACAAAGGCACATCAATAATCACATACAATACCTTTATATAAGTAACACAGCCACGTCTCTTTTAACTGCCAACTCTTCAAGAACAAACGTTCAGGTCTTCAGGTCATGAAAGCAAAAGGCAAAGTCTTGGTCCCAGCCTTCTTCCTTACCCTCATCATGAGAGCTTCATTGCTCCCTGATGGTTTGAGCATCTTCTGAAGCATGCCAGTTGCACACACTCCTCGCATTTCTTCTACATTCCCTCCAGTTCATTTATTCACAAACACATCTCTGCTTTAGCAGGAACTATCACTCACCTACTCTATGGGTTTTTGCTAAACTCTTTTTGCAATTTGTACATGAATGTGGTATAGTATGTGGTAAGATATTTCCCTTGCTCTAATCAGGAAAGTCTGCAAATTTTCTCTCTTTTTTGCACTCACCCCCACTCTTGTGCACCTGTGCTAGGGCTTACACTCAGGGCCTGAGTGCCGTCCCTTAGCTTATTTTCCTCACAGCTGGTGCTCTACCACTTGAGCTATAGCTTCACTTCCAGCTACTTTTTCGTGCTTAATTGAAAATGAGTCTTCATGGCCTTTCTTGCCCAAGCTGGCATTAAACTTCAATCCTCACATCTCTGCCTCCTGACTAGCTAGATTACAAATGAGTCAATGGCGCCTGGCAGAATGTATTTTCTGAACTAATCTGTGCACCTCTTGTGCTTTCTGCTTTAGGCATCTGTTTACTTGGGTAAGAATCCACCTTTCAGTATCTCTTACAATCTTTGTCCTATGTCCTGTGGCTTCCCCTTCTATCTTAAAAATCCTACATGGAACTCTTTGCTTTTAACCCCCCTCTCCCCCGCCCCGCCGTCCCATATATCCACTGTCCTCCTACATATGGAAGAAGTGTAAGTTGGGCACTAAAAGGAAAATCTGGACTGTCTCAGTTTAACAGGGATTTCTAGTTCAAGAAAGAACTAAGTAAAAACAAATACAGTATGTGGGTTCATCTTTTGAATATTACAAATATTAAACACTAGATTACTGCAGAAATATAATTACCCTTCAAGGTTGTCAGTGTGCCAACATCTTTAGAGATGCTCACCAAGGAAATGGGTGCTACTCCTTGGAATTGTATATTAGCATTATATATACTAGGTAGTATGTTAGTTTCATCATTATGTCAGAGCTATCTTAACAACTATAATAGTACATGAATTTTTGCATTTTGGTCTTGTTGAGGTGGTAAATGACTACAACACTCCTCCATAGGACTTTGTTGCTCCTAAATGCTGAGATCCAATGTCTGAAGTTTGTTTTAGTAAAACGTATCTCCTTTGTCTATGGATGTGGTTCTCTGATCCTGGACCAAGAGACAGTTAAGTCTTTTTACTACACTTGATCTTAGCCAAAAGGCCAAGAAGCGATAGTCAAGTCTTTTTGCATACAAACATTTCCAGGAGAAATAGAGCATATTCAGCACTACCATGCTTCAACATTAGCATGTAACTTTTCTTTTAGATCTCAGCTATGATACAAGTATCTATATGTGGAGATATCCAACAGGGAAGTTCAGAAGGGGAAAATTCCAGATCTGTGTGAGGATGCAAGTCTGATAACTTGTTGCCATGGGGCTCTAAGAAGCCTGGAAATCACCATGAAGAACATATAGAAGGCCTTAGAAAGGCTCTGACAAAATAAACTGAAAAGTACCTAAGGAAAACTTGATAGACATCTAGTTTTGTCAGCGGGTCAACTTCCTCCTGACTGATGGAAACATCAACTCTTCATTTTGGTTAGAGTTGGGAATACGCGCCCTGAATTATTACCTAGCACACAGCAGCTTCAAAGAGAAAGAATAAACTGGATTCTGAACTCTGGTCGATATACTGAATTGGTTTTAGTGTTGGGATTATGAGACCCACAGGAACACATACAACACATCAAAGGCCTTAAAGTTGGCTTATCAAGAAAAGCCAAAGTGGGAATCGCCTTAGAAATATTAAGATAGGGCACAAAGAGCAAGGGAGATTTCCACGGTACAGATGATACCAGAAAGGACTAGCCTTCTTCCTGGCTCTTGCCCCTATTATAGTCACGTGAATAATACTTTACTTTGTCATAACTTCTGAGACAAACTTGGTTCATCTCAATTTTCTATCAGCTCAACTATGGAAGGATGATCAAAGTCAACAAGTTCCAGGTTGTTGTTTTTGTGGTGTTCAGATATCTGGCAGAATAAAGTTTTATTATGTTACATTTGTTTTCTTAGTGAACAAAAAGGATTCCCAGGGGCTGGGAATGTGGTTTAGTAATAGAGTGCTTGCCTAGCATGTATGAATTCCTGGGTTTGATTCCTCAGTACCACATAAGAAGAAAAAGCCAGAAGTGGCGCTGTGGCTCAAGTGGTAGAGTGCTAGCCTTGAGCAAAAAGAAGCTCAAGGATAGTATCCAAGCCATGAGGTCAAGCCCCAGAACTGGCCCCCCCAAAAAGATTCCCAGCCAAGTACCAGTGGCTCACACCTGTAATCCTACTCAGGGTGATGAGATCTGAGGATTGTGGTTCGAAGTCAGCCCACTCAGAAACGTTGGTGAGATTCTTATCTCCAATTAACCACATATGAAGTGGAAGTGGCACTGTGGCTCAAAGTGGTAGAGTGCTAGCCTTGAGCAAAAGAGCTCAGGGACAGCCTCTAGCCCCTGAGTTCAAGCCACACAACCAAATAAAAAACAAAGCAAAACAAAAGGATTCCCATTTCATTCCTATGCCGTTTTTGGAGATAAGCAGGTTTGAGTAACAGAAACCATTCTAGTGTGGAAACCCATACACTTCATTGTCCTGAAACCATTTATGTCCATCTAAAGAAGGAAATAAATAGCTTCAGCTTCATGTGTTACATTGAAGGTGCAAAATAGAAAGGAGTAACTGGCATAAACAAACTTCTAAAAATTTATCTCTCACTAGGCCTTAGGTTTTCTGAGGCACAGTTGAAATCAGCAAGCATGATCTTAAAAACTTTTCTTTTCCTATGTGTCTCTCTTGTGTTAGCCACTCCAATCTTACAGGAATAACACAGCTAACACAAAAGGTATGTTATCTATAGAATTCAAAATACTGAAGATATTTGGAAATAAATTTCCTGTTTATGCAATCTGACATTGAGCCAAATCACAAATTTAAATTTTATATTAGCATTATTATTAGAACAGATATTCTCAGACATAGATGCTCTATGAACTTCTGTGTGAATATGGATTCATAAAAAATGAAAGACATAACCAAGGAATTTTCACACTTTATTAAAAGAACAAAAAATAAAGAAGTAGCATACTAAAATGGGTTACATGATGCATATTTCTAAACATAAACATAAACAAGCACTATAACACTACAACAGCAAAAAACAAAAAGGCAATGATCTGCAGTTGAGGGAATGAGCTATTGCATTTTGAAGGCAAAATATTATGAGCATAGTTTTTATTTTTAAGTATTTCGATTCTTCAAATATATATTGTAACAGGGTAATTATTTTCTAATTTTAGGTATTTTTGTTTGTTCTTTTTTTCCATTGAACAATTTGAATTCAGGACCTCACACTTGCTAGGTAGGTACTCTACCACTGAGCTATTCTTCCAGACCAACTTTAGGTATTTTTAAACTGCCATTTTCTACATTCGAAATTGTTGTTAGATGATTGCATAAAGTTCACCCTTGAAATGTTTACACTTAATGTAACTTTAATTAAAAAATTAATTTATAGATGGGCACAATCTACCACTTACTTCAGGTGAGAGGATTAGCTTGCTTGAGCTCATGAGTTCAAGACTAGCCCAGGCAATACAAAGAGAGACCTCCTCAAAACAAACATGCTCCATTTCCTCCAAAACCTACTTATTTTAAATGGCTATGATTTGAAACATGGTAACAATTGGCTCATTTTCTAATAATTAAATCAGCAACCATAATAAAAAAGGAAACAGAAATGATACAATAGTGGTATATCATTCTCTCAACTACTAAGACAAAAAAGACACAGCAGCAAAATAATTTGGTTTCTATCGTCCACAAATAGTATTTGCATAATGAATAAAGTTTCAAAACCATGCAGTTCTATGACAGTTCTATCTTTAGGTTGTGTGTTGGGAGGAAAAGAGTCTACTTAGTAGTAGGCTTTTTGTGTCTTATTACAGAGGTATTTAAAAAAATAGTATGATGTAGAAGGTGACTAGTGAGAATTCTTTCAATATCTGCAAAGAGTGCTAAGTTTGGAGTGATATATTTTTTTCCTTTCAGGTATAACAAAATTGAGGATGGTTTCTACGTATGCACAAAAGTTCTCAGGGAGAATCCACTTTTGAGTATTAATTTCCTTACAGTTCAGAACAAATAGAGAGGCTGGGAATGGAATTGATCAGCCTATATCCTAATAGAGGTCATTTTTGTGGCCTCAGTTAAACACATTGTTTACATTTCATTTTGTAACTTCTTTTGCCTATTTAAACAGGCACTGTGTTTTAGCTTTAAAGAGTATGACACAGCATGCACATCAATGGCACCAATTCCTTGAAGTTCTTTTGTGATGCTTTGGGATCTTTCTAATGTTTTACAAATGATTCTTTCTGACTTAAAAATCTTATCTCAGTGGTAGAGCACATGTCTACCAAATGCAAGGTCCTGGGTTCCATCCCTGGTCCCATGCACATACACTCATGCAAAAATGTTTCATCTCTCTATTGACCTTATGAAAAAATTTTATGTGGCTTACAGCTTTGTAATGAAATGACAACATAAAATTATGCTCGTGATAAGGCTGCAGTTTGAAGTTGCTATGTACAAATACATATATATATATATACAATATACATATTATATATATTGTATACATATATATATAGTGTGTGTATATATATTCTATTTTATATCAATGGAAAGGCTAATCAGATTGTCAGACTGAGTCTAAATGATTATGAACTGAAGGAGGAACGAAATTTCTAGCCAATTGGTCCTGAGCTATTGGATAACTATAAGGCTTGGATTGTTTTCTGGCTTTGGCTTTTCTCTCTCTCTTCTTGTTTTGGTGCTAGGGCTGGAACCCAGGTTCTTGTGTGGGGAGAGCTGCAGCCCTAATTTTCTGACTCTGGAGTGAAAGCTAGCAAAACTGTGTAGCAATGTCTCATTACCAAGTCCCCTAGTCCCAGGATGGGTTCCTTGTACATGGCAAGAGCTACCAGCCTCAAGATATGAAGGACTCAAAGCACCTATGGTGATACATTGTTAATCTTTCTAACTTAGACTTTTCCTAGGCCTCATTGCCTGGGAATGAAAAGAAAATTCTATGGCTATCTGTAGGTGGAGTGCAGGTAAAACTGGAAAAGATGGTTAGACTGAAACATTTGCTTCCAACTCTTGTGTTATGCAAGATTTTGTCTGGTTCTCTTCTGCTTCATTCAGACAAAACATTGGGAGGCTGAAGTGGTACAATGAAGTAGTTAGTAATCTGCTAAAGGTAGGTCAGAAAACAGCTACTACTGAACAGGTAGAATGTAAATAATGCTATTTCTAATGTCATTCCAGGAGCATGGTTTGCTTTATTGAAGGGAATAAACTACTCTGGATTGGCCATACTTAACTGTAAGTGACATCTTTCAATATTTGCCACTTCACTTTGAGCTTCTGCATCTTAAAGGAGGAACAGAGATCAGCACAAACCATTTGCCACTTAAATACATGCTAACTGATTGCCATGATAAGCTGATGCATAGAGCAATATGTTTTATTGAAGGGGGAAATGTGATTGACTTTAATGAGAACATCTCACAATTTAAATGGTATTTCACTAGCTTAGAATCATTGATACAAAACCTTTGCCAAAACCTACCGTGTGTGTGTGTCTGTGTGTGTGTGTCTGTGTGTGTGTGTGTGTGTGTGTGTGTGTGTTGGATGCATGCTTATAGTGGGGATTAATTTTCTAAAGCAATCAGTCTTTGCTACTGATCTTGCTAAAAGACATACTTCTTCTCTGGTTCCATGTTGTAACGCGATGCTGTTCCCAAACTTCCTTTTGGTTAGCTGTAGCCAAGAGGAAGGCCTCCACAATAGCAATGCAACTCCTTGCTTTTGCTAAGTCTTAGAGGAAAATTGCCTCCTTTTCTAAGCCTTAGAAAGCACTCTCTCACTTACTTTTCCACTATTATCACAGAGTTCTTATGTTTAAAAACAAGCTCCAAGGATTGCTTTCATGGACTATGTACATAAGTGCAAAAAAGGTGTGTCTCACACATTCGCACCCTAACTGAGACAATCAGGTAACTGCAGCATATGTCTCATAAACACTGTTAAGGGGTTAATCCACAGTATCCTTACTTATGGTTTCACAAATATGAGATCATTTTACAATGTTTTTATCATCCTTTGATCCTTACATATATTTTTGGATGTAATTCTACAAAATACTTTTTTTTACAACTACACATATGCCATATGAATAGGTAATTTTGAACAAAGTTATAAGAAAAGGGTCAGGTAATATTTTATCTATGCTATGGGTATGTTTGAGTTCAAAATACTGTGGAATAACCCTGTTTATACAACAGATTCTATAAACTATAAGGCCTGACTCTAGAATCCGTACACTATAAAATTTTTGACCAAAAAGTCACAGGAGGACACAAATTTAGCTTTCACAGGGGACCTAAAACTCTTTTTAAAAAAAAATCACCATATCTGTTTTCTGAGTTTTGAGCTGTATCTTCTACAGGTTCATACTGTCACAAACCACACATATAGTTTACAGATAAAAGTTTCACACAGACACACAAATGTCTAAAGGTAGCCATGTTGTGGTTTTGTTGCCAAAGCAACAGCTAAATATAATTCATTGACAAGTATTATTTGTATAACATTAAATGTGTTCTTAAACTGTGAGTTTCCAATAGTAGTTATTAACTATAACCTACATCTTGCATGCGTTAGTGTCTAAATGATCTGAATACATGTACTAAAATGTAAGATTTCTCTAACACTTCTTCAAACTTAAATCCATTGGTTACTTAGCAATATAAAAATAATAAAACAAAACCTTAAAAACTAACAATAAGAAAAAGGAACACACAACATCAGATAATAAGTTGGTGCTCAGAGTTTACATGTCATAATATTTATAGTTTGATTCGGCTATCAACTAACTTTCAGGGGGAAAAGTGGCTATACTCTTCTATATACTATATATTCTATGACCTTCAATAGGCACTGATCCACTATCTTATGGTATCTATTCATTAGAAATGGGAAATCAGATTTCCCTCCTAATTTTATTTTTTGTTTCATTGTATATGAAATGTATGAGAAAAAGGAGAATGTAGTAATGATTGTGTACACCACAGCCTACCCCATAAGCTCTCAGAAAGTCTATCTGAGCTTTACCTAAAAACATCATTATGGACATGCTCCCAAGAGGGAGGAAAAGATCCAAACAGCATTCCAAATAGTACTTGCACTTTCTCTCTTAATTCATCAAATGTAATGTAAACTTTGTTTCTTATTCAAACACCACTTTGCTTACTGGTCATGATGTGAAAAATTAATTCTAGCTGTAAAAATTAATTTCATTTGGTTCCTGCTGATAGCAGGAGACGTGGTGCTGACTTTTTCTCAAACCAGAGAATAGGTAAACTGAGGTCTTCCATTAGTGGACACAGTCTAGTGATACAGGGCAACACTTAATGGCATGTTCAGAAACAGATGAAGATAGATGGAGGACAGAGAAGATAGATTTCATGATTAACTGCCAATTAAAGAATAATCTAGCAAAGTGAAATGAAATGCAACAGCTGGTTTTGGAATCATGTTCCAACTGCAAAAGTAAATACTGTATTTAAATAGAAATTTTATGAATCCATTTATTTCAAATTCAGTCCCTCTTTAAAATATACTCATGTTGTGGTTACATAGTGTTTTTGTAAAACATTGAAACTACTAAAACCTTCTTAAAAGATATCTCTCAGTTTTTTTTCCCTGTATATATGACTGCTTAGTCCATAGTTCAACACTTGCATATTCTTTTTTGCAAAATGCTGAGATAAATGGACAAACACAATAATTTGGGATAACTAAAAATAGAGGACCTTGTAAAATACAAAGCTTATAAAATATTAAGTAAAAATCACAAATGATTAGAATTTTAATATTTACAGTTCATTAGGTATATTTTCATTTAGAGTCACTGATTAGTTTTGTGACTTGTTTTTTAACTGGAATTTTATAGTCTAATGACTTACTTATTGGTCTTGTCTTTTCTTGAATAAAGGTGATTTGAATAAGTCATTGCACAACTAGCTTAAAGAGTGCTATCTTAGAATAACATTTTCCTCAAAACTCTTGAATTTGATCAAAACTTTAGGGCTTTGAGCTTGCTTTCTTTATATTCATTTGCACAGCAACTTTCAATATGCCAACAATCTATAAAATCATGGCACCGAAAATCCAACTACCCTGAATGCCCCTCACTAAATCTCTTCTTAAAAATAAGTCATTATTAATGTCTTCCAGTGCTTAAAGCACTAAGGTATACTCTAGGTTTATCATCTATCTATATCTTTGCCAAAAGATTAAAAAGTTAAATGAGATAGTATGTTGCTTCAAAATGTCAAACTATGCAAAAATTCATTTTGCACCAAAACACCATCCCCATCTCCAGTAAGAAATGGATCCAGACTAGCTCAGGTAAATCCCTCCTGGACTCATGTGTTCAAATCTGCCCTTCGGGAGAGGCCCAGGCACAGATTATGCAAAACTCAGTTCCATACACAAGGCATTTTTTTAAAAGGCATACGCTGCTTCTCTAGAAATATTAAGATTCTAGCAAACAGAAAGGAAGTGGTTCAAGGAGTCTACAGGGAAAAAGGAAAGTCCTGAATTCCAGGAAACACTGTTAACCAACAGAGGACAGACAGTGTGACTCAATACAAGCAAGACTGTTTACAAACCATTGATAGAGCAAGGTTTGCATTGATCGTTAAGATCAGTAGGATTCCAACCACCGGGGGGATTCTGCTCTTTTGTATTCTAAGCCAGACTGCTCTATGTTCTACAGCGCAACAAGGTCTCCCAATGGTTGTGGAACTTTCTAGGTCTCAGTTTTATCAGTGAAAAATCTTTGTCAACACCACTGTTCATAAATTTAAACCTACTAGCTGACAGTATCCTAAAGATTTTCTCTTGTCATTTTTTGAATAAGAAAATCAACTCTTCATATATGTGCATATGTAGGCATACATATATATCTATTAATTTCAATTTTGATGATTGTATACTTTTCAGTGGGAGAATATACATTTAGAAGAACATATTACATTGATCTAAGTTGGTGCAAACTGCATCATCCCACCACTGTAATAATAATAATAATAATAATTTTAATAACTGAGTAGACTGGAGGAGGTAGGCTATATGCTACAGAAATTGATTGCTGTTTGACACAGGTATAATTATGTCATAAGAATTAGTAATAAGAATTCATCTCACCTTGGTGGTGAAACTCATATAAAGAATAATGAATCCAAGCAAAAACTATGAAGCTTTTAGAAAGAAGTCTGCAGATGTTCAAGTGTGGGCAGGGACACGCTTGCCATGAATCACAGGCACTTGCTCTTTCACTGATGTGTTTAACAAAATTGGAAACTCAGAAAAACTAATGCTAAGGACAACTGCAGAAATTTCTTCTAGTTCTTTTTCATCATTCAAAGAGCAATTTTAAATGCCTCCCTGGCCCCTTGACCCTACCATTTCTCAAACCTGTGCTCAGACTCCCTCAGTGATCAATAGAGAAGATTGGCCATTTGGAGACGAAGGGCCTCATTTGGAACCAATTCTCTTTCACCTGGACTGACTTTTGCTAGATTGCATCTTACTTATTATTCAAAGAGTATTCTAAAGAGCATGAGCCATTCACATTTGGAAAATGTCACTTGCTCAGAAGGTTACTTTGCAATGGTTTTACACACCTTCTGCCAGTATGTAAAAACTATCCCCATGCCCCCATCTCTTTGTTTGATTTTTTAACCTGCAATTAGCATACCTTTAAGCCATCAACTGCCAATTTCTCAGCTGAAGATGACAAATGGCTTGCTTTTAGACACTCAACTTAGGAAATAGGATTCTTGGGATACAAAAAAAGGTAATGAGTACATAATTTTTTAGTACAAATGGGGAGAAATTCATAAAAAGTGTATATTCTATTTTCAAGTTATTTAAGGAGTGATTAGAGGTTTAATGTTTTAATAAGCTTCCTACTTTTTATAGGTAATTATTTTTCCCTTGCCAAAAATTTAGTCAATTTATGGAAATCAGCAAAGTTAGATCAGAGAGTACAATTATGCACACAAATGTTTATGCACACTCAAAATGAAGCCCTTTAAATCTATGTCCCAAGAAACCTACAGAAATATTCTAAATAAAGCATATTAACATGAACCTGCCATGTTTTACAACTACACACACTTCTGTTCTTTACTAGTAACATTTTAGTTGAACTCAAACACCACAATATACAGCAAAACACTATGGTATGCAACAACTAAACACATTCCAAGACAATACAATGTAATAATAAAGAAAATGATACTGAATATTTGTTATTTCTAGATCAACCCAATAAACTATCCTGTAAACAAAATAGTAAGATAACACTTCAAAAACAGACATCCATCATGAATGCACATAGTAAGCCCACTGTGGAAATTCACTTAGCATAATGGTAATTGGAAAATCACAGAATGTTAGGGCTGTATTCTATCTGCTAATTCAAATATGATAGCTAATTCATATCAGAGAATTCATAGTTACTGGTTTTGTATTGGTATTTTCTTTTAACATCTCCATTGATTCTTGACGCTTTATTTTTATATGTTTTTTTTTGGCTGGCTGATATGCTTTGTTTAATATATTGACTGCACCATGTTTATTGTTGTGTTGGTGGAAGAAGACACATGAGAATATATATAGAAAGGCCATATGGATGTTCTCATGGAAAGATTCCGATACTCCATAACTCTGCTGTTCAGAACTTCAACTGAAAGGGAAAAAAGAAAGAATGAAACATATTTAAGGGTTTTCAAACTAGGAGGCAGGAGGTGGTTCTTATTCCAGTTCTGTGAGTGAACTATGCCAAGATATTTCCCCCTCTGAATTTCTGATTCTACATCTGTGTAAACTGGGCTGCTGCAAATGATCTCCCAAGTGTCAAATGGCTACTGATGATTGGTAGGAAACGCCCATTGAGGGCTAACATAGAGAAGTACTTTTTTTAATTAATGGCATTATCTATGTGATACTTAAAATTTTCTGCAGAACACCCAACATCAGTGTTCATCTTCTTCAACAGGCATATATTGAGAGTATGTGTTTGATATCAAACCCTTTGAAAAATGCCAGTGTTGAATAAACATTACATTTTTTTATCTGAATGCTTTACAGTTACATTCTAATAGCCCAAATAAAGTATAGAGAATTGCACCAAATCACATTTTTTTGACCTTCAGAGACATTTCCAATGCCTGTTATATATCAACAATATATATTCTGCCAAACATTGCCCAAATATATCTTGTGGAAAGGTTAATTATATTTGACTTTTGTTTGCCTTGTTATATAGCAGCCTATAAGAATGGTGCAAGCGTTGACAAAGCCAACAGGTACTTTTTCCCAAGTTGCCACTAGCCCAAATGATGACAATTTATAGCTCCTTTCAGTTACTCTATGTCTTTTAAATACATTCCTTATGATAGAGAGTGGGCCTATTTACTGTATAGTCAGCTCTGGGCATTTTCAAAAAGTTACTGTTCCAGGACTGGGCATCCTGGCAGCATAAAAAGATGAGCTGGGAACTGGGGAATTTGTCCAGTAGAGAGCATGCCTGCTACCTTGGTCAAGCAAATGATACCACAGGTGAGAGAACTTCAACATTTCCATGATGAATGACTGCAACATACCAGCAGAGCTGGTATGCTTGTTAAGTCCCAAAACTAGGACTCTTCAGTGCTTTCAGAAATCATGTTCCAAAAGAATAATTGCTCAAGTTTAAAGTGTGTGTTACTATGGGCCAAGAGGAGATTGAGGGTAAAAGAGGGTGAGGAGGGAATCCAAGCACTACAAAAATTAAAAAAAAAGAATTCTTAGGAAAAATAGTGATTAAATTACTAAATGATATCACTCAAAATCCAAAACAGCTGGAGCAATTCTGCTTGGCTTTCATGGAAGCAACACTACAGTGCACTGGATAGCACTGTTTTCTATAATGTTATAGGAGAAGCACACTACAAACTGTCATTAAGATAATCATGTCACTCAAATGCTGACAAAATTACTTTGTTTTCCTGAAACAATAACTACAGCAACAAAATGAAGCTATGAAAAAATGTTAGAGAATTCAAACAAAAATGACCTGTGCCTTTGGCTAATGAAACCTATCCCTTGAAAAATAGGAAAACATTTCCAGGTTTGTAAGCTCATTGGGAAAATATAGTACCAGCTGTCATTTCCATATTAAGAAATTTTCATATTTATTCTCACATTTTCATTTGAAAATGTTAGAATGTTTAGTCCTGAGGTCTTTTAATGACAACATTTATTGAAAGCTTTAGCAAATACAATTCTGCATTTAAATAAAAGATTTAACCTACAAATACTACTTATATTAATACTTAAAGAAACTTACTGTTCTACTGGTAACTTCTACATCTGTGAAACAAACATGCTGCTATTCAGTTCATCTAGTGATAATTGGGGCATCTATAGTAGTAAAAAAGATTTTAGATTAAAATAGTTTCCTGAAAGAATTCTGCAATTCTGTTCCCTGCTTGGGCATAGGAGTCAATAACCGTCATGAATTTCACAGAAAATTTTAGGCTTCTTAACTATTGCCATTAATAGTTAATTTTGAAAGGCACAGATTAGAATGTGGTTTGTTCCCCAATACATGAATGCTATATGTGTTTCACAGTTATCGTGGTTATAATTTATAATTTAAATAGCAGTGAAACTTGCATTCTGTGGGCGTGGTTATCACTGTAATAAGGCAGAACTCTTATAACATTATCCAATAACTATTGTGTACATTGCCTTACAATTTCAGGACTCAACCCTAACTTACAACTTGCCAGTCACCCTGCCTGAAAAACAATATAAACACATTTTATGTCTGCATGAGAAGGAACTTCTGATGTAATCACTGGATAAAGATAAGGATATCCGTGCCTTTGAAAGAAATCTGATATCTTTGCTTTCATTCTAGTGGATCTAAAAGTAACATGATGATTGCACTAAGTTAAAGTTCAAACACAACAATTGAAGATGGCAAGGAAAAAAATCAAATTGCCTTAGCCAATGAGAAAATATTGAAGAAATAGTTCATATAATATATACATTTGAGGATTGGTGTGGTAGCCAATAATTGGATAGAGAATAACAAGAGTGAACGTTTTTTACCAAGTCAAAAATGACTACAGTACTACTGATTATAGTCTCATGTTGAAGAACAAAGCACACAGAGTACTCTATGTGTACACACACACAAAGAAAAATTGCAATGTAACGATTGCTCCAGAAACATATAAGTATACAGACTCCTGGGTTCACCAATGCACAAAGTATATATCATGCCTGACTAATGTGTTGTAGGTATCTAGGTCTGAACAGGGGAAATAAATGAGCAAACCTGATTGCCTGTAGTTGTTGCAACGTAGGGCACGCTGGTGGCAGATGTTGTTGCTGCAGACACAGTGGTAGGTGTAGCACCGTGCATCATGGGCACTTCAGTAGGAAACCATGGAAGCAACACACAGGAGGGTGGTGGTGCAGTTACACAACCATGACATGTAGGATGGAATGGGATGTGGTAGGTATCACAGCCACAAGCCACGAGACATCATCATGATGGATACATCCGAGCGCAACATGCAATCAGAGTCAGCATCAAGCAACCCAGCATGGAATGAGGGGAAATTTAAAAAGAGAAAAGGGGAAATTGAATTATAGGTATCATTAAGGAAAATGGAGCCATTGTCAACATTTTGCTACATTTTTGAGCAGAATCACACAATTGACTCAAAAGGCCAGATTTTTACAAGGGGTTATAATGAATGCATGTAAAAATTCCCTATTACTAGAGCTATTTATCTAAAGTGTGATAAACAAGCAAGTAACTGGGGCTGCACATTTGGATGTGCATTAGGGAATTGGGAGTTAGTGTTTGGGGTCTCTGACTTACGGGCATGAGTGCTGCCAGTAGATGTGCAGGTCAAAAGGGGCAAGTTTTATATAGACTTACCTCATCTGCATGCAAAAAGAATGGTTGGTTGATTGGTGGATTTGTGGCAGGGGAACAGATACAAAGACTATGGATAGGACTATGAGAATGGGTATTGAAGTATACCTCTACTAAGCTTCTTGGAAACTGGCTTTTTCCAAACTGATACATGAGGTACTTCATAATAAATCTTGTCTTCACAGCAAACATTAGAGCTACATTGACTAGTACTTGCAAAATCTCTTTCAGGATTTTTATTTGACTTTACTAGTTTCTATCTCATTTTGAAGGCTTTGGATACTGTCCAGCTTATTCTAGAAAGCCTACTAGAGAATTCATGTAGGAATGGCAAACATATATATATATATATATATATACATACATACATATATATGCACATATATATGTAATGTATAGGTATAAATCTATATCTATCATCTATCTATCTCTTTTTTAATTTTAATTTTAATTTTTTGTGAACATACTGTACAGAGGGGTTACAATTACATGGGCAAGATAATGAGTACATTTCTTATCAAGCATTGCAGCCTCCTCCTTTGTTTACCCTTCACATCTCTTCCCAGCCTCCCTATCTCTCTCGCTCTCTCTCTCTCTATCTATCTATCATCATCATTTATCCAGTCCACATCAAGTAAATTCAGATTGTCTGAAAAGTCTACTGAGAAAGGGAATGGCCAGCCAAAAGAAGAAAATAAAAATATACAAATTCATAGAAATAAAAAAATATATCCCAGGTCTGGGAAGGTGGCTCAGTGGTAGAGCGCTTGCCTTGCATGCCTGAGGCCCTGGGTTCGATTCCTCAGCACCACATAAGCAAAAAAGAAAAAAGCCAGAAGTGGCGCTGTGGCTCAAGTGGTAGAGCACTAGCCTTGAGCTGAAGAGCTGAGGGACAGCGCCCAGGCCCAGAGTTCAGGCCCCACGACCGGACCCAAAAAAAAAAAATATATATCCCAAAGGGGGATAAAGATAAACTCTTCAGTTACCCTTTCTGGCCACCTCTGGTTACCTATTATGTGTAGTTATTCCTTATTTGTCTTGCATGCCAATTCCCAAAACACTTGTTTCCCCCACTGGGAGCACAGCAACTGTGCAAGAAGCAACAATGCTAAAGCATGCAATTGCATTCCTAAGCAGAGTTCTGAAAGGAAAACGACATGGAAGCAATGCCAAGAAAACAGGTCACAAAATATTAACATAGGGACATGTTTCTCAAGCTTGCAGAAGTCTGTTCTTCTAACCATATACATAAAATGTTCTTATTGGTATCAATAGAAATACAGGGGACAGCTAATCCTCAATAACAGAGGCTAGAGTTCAGATCTTGTGCTTATGACCACTGCTTGTGTGTGATCATTTTGATCTTTTGTTTTTGTTTTTTCCCATTAAGCCTTGTCAGTGTCTTTTGGGCTCTGTAATGACTATAGTCCAATGGAGTGGGGGTCAAGGTGTTGCAAAGCCTCAAAAAGGATATGGAAATAACTGGGTTGATATGAGATGGTAGGGTAGTATAGAGTAATACTACCTCTCCCTGAAACAAGCAAAGCTATCTTCTCCTGATCTGTCCCTGGTGCCCAAGAGGACTGCAAGAGGTATGGACACCTCCAGTTACCATCTCATCCTCTTTGGTATTATTGATGTACAAAATGGCTTTTGGATGGCTATCATATTGTATTAGTGGCCAACTGTATATAATTAGTTGTTAAAATCCACATAACAAAGTGTCACTTTGAAATAACCTTGTTGCCTAAGATGGTGCTTCATCCTAGAACACTACAGAATTCATTCCAGAACATTGCAGAATGCTGTAGTTTTTACTGCAATCATCTATGTACTTAATGGTTTGGATCATAATGATAATTTTTGGTCCAAGTGCTGGTGTGTTATACCTGTAATCCTACTTACGCAGAAAGCTAAACTCTAAGGATTTTTTCACTTTGAAGCCAGTCTGTGCATTAAAGTCTATAAGACTCTTACCTCCAGTTAACTCCCGAAAACTGGAAGTGGAGCTGTGGCTCAAGTGGTAGGGCACTATTGGTCACCAAAAAGAGCTCTGGGATAGTGCGTAGGCCCTGAGTTCAAGCCCCAGGACCAGCATAAAAAAAAGATTTTTTTTGGGGGGGAGGGATTGTTTCACTGTACTGTATCAATTGTACATTTGAAATTTTTCTGCTTTAAAAATTGTATGTATGACAAAACTGCCCAGTTTTACAATGTAAAAAAAAATAAATATGTTAATTGTTATTTTGGGTTAACATAGAGAACTGACCGGGTTAGTATTTGGTCACAGTGGCAAAAACATAAAACATAAGACACATATTAAACCTTAAATTCACAGCAAATGCCCAGTCACATCATTCAATCACTCATCTCTTTCATAGTCACAGTAGAAAAAACACATTTTTTTTCAGATTAGAACAAGTTGAGAATTTTTGTAGAAAACCTACCAAAACTTGAAGCGGGTGCCATGCACAGTATTGGCCCTGTACACCATGCAGAAAAGCGTGGAAGGTAAAGAAAAGAAAGATTTCATTATTAAGGCTTTATAGACAGAAGTGAATTTTAACTAGAAAGATTTTTTTTGCAATATCAATTAATTAGCACATGCGATCCCAATAATCTCCCACACTTATAATTACAGATAAGCTTTGAGATCATAGGCCCAGGTAATCAAAGTAATTCTTGGATTCTTAGGCAAAAAAGATAAACTTTCTTTAAAAGAACTGCTTCACTTAGATCTCATATTTATTTTGGACAAATACATTATCAATAATTCTTATCATAAAAGTTAGGAGAGATGTTTTTGTTTTTGTTTTGGCCAGTTGAGGGGCTTGAACTCTGGGCCTGGGTACTGTCCCTGAGCTCTTCAGCTCAAGGCAAGCACTCTACCACTTGAGCCACAGATCTACTTCCAGTTTTCTGGTGGTTTATTGGAGATAAGAGTCTCACTGACTTTCCTGCCTGGGCTGGCTTTGAACCCCGATCCTCAGTTCTCAGCCTCCTAAGCAGATAGGATTACAGGTATGAGCCACTGGCACCTGGCCGAAAGTTTAATTTTTTTCACATATTCTTTTCAAAATATTATGTGCCTATCTTTCTATTTATTGAATTGATCTATTAACATCTCGTTGACTATGAGTATATTGCAGTGGGCTTTCTATTTTTATAAAAAAAGAGCTCTCAAACAGGTTTTTATCTATTAATAAGGAGAAAGGGATTTTTCTAACATTTTTGCTTGTAAATCTCAATTTCTTATTGGTTAAATCTGGCAAAAAGAAGTCTCAGTCTAATTACTAATCAGGACTAATTTGTAATTTCAAATCAGGTCGAGAAAAACTAGAATGAATAATGCAAATTTTCACATTCAGTCCCTTTGGCTACATATCTAGGCCACCAGATTCATTTTATAGCTATGAGTCAAACTAGAAGCAGCCAAAGTAGATACATCTAATGTGTAAGTATATTATCATTGTTATTTTAAGGGGGAAAAAGCTAGGAATAAAGTAACTAACACGTCCTGGTTTTCTCTTTTACTTCATGGACATTACATAGCTTCTCTCAGGTCTGGCTAAAATGGCCAAATCATTAGATATGTGTGGTTCTTATAAGTGATGTGCTCATGTACAAAATAACTATTTTCCTCCTCAGAAACTGTTATACAAGCATGTAAAAATTGTGGAACTGACATGACATCCTGAAGAGTTGTCATACTCAGTAATTAAAGACTTTTGTGGGCCTGAACTCTGGGCCTGGGCACTGTCCCTTGGCTCTGCAGCTCAAGGCTAGCGTTCTACCACTTGAGCCACAGTGCCACTTCTGGCCTTTTATGCTTATGTGGTGCTGAGGAATCGAACCCAGGGCCTCATGCATGCAAGGCAAGCACTCTACCAGTGAGCCACATTCCCAGCCCTAAAGACATTTTTAATGGGTTCCTTCAAAATTATCTGTTTAATTTATTAATTATAGTAATCAATGTTTTCCTAAGTCCAAGTAAACAATATTAGGTCTTTAGAATTTTTATATAGTCAACAATGCTTTCTAAATTAATCTTCAAAGCAGATGTTATTTTCATTTACTAATGGTTTCTAAACTGAGACATTTAGGAGTCTGGCAAAAAAATATTTCCAGTGGTTGGTGTTTTCAATTTGTTACTAAGACATTATTAAATGTTTTGTCATTTTACTTTTTTGGTTGTACTGGGGTTTGAACTCTGGCCTTCTCACTTACTATGTATCTGCTCTAGCAGTTGAGTCACTGCAGAAGTCTTTATACTTAGAGTATAACCCACTGGGAGGGAATTATTTTTCTTCATACATTTGAACATAAAATATATGTTAAACATAAATATGTATGTTGAACATATATATTTGGACAAAAATGATTTAAAATTTTCTGTTCCACTTGCTGTGAAACTTTCATGCTATTAATTTTAGGTAAATGGAGGAGGTAGCATCAAATATGTTGCAATATATAAAAAATATAACAATAAGCCGGGTGCCAGTGGCTCAAGCCTGTAATCCTAGCTACTCAGGAGGCTGAGATCTGAGGATTATGTTTCAAAGCCAGCCCAGCCAGGAAAGTCTATGACACTCTTATCTCCAATTAACCTCCAGAAAATCAGAAGTGGCGCTGTGGCTCAAGTGGTAGAGAGCTTGCCTTGAGCTGAAGAGCTCAGAGACAGTGCCTAGGCCCAGAGTTCAAGCCCCACAACCAACAAAAGAATAAAGAATTTAAAAAAATGTAACAATAAACTGCTGTATTTTTATATGACCAGGTTCCAGAAATAGGGGCTGAACTATTTCTTTTATATTATCCTTACTATAAGTTTAAGGTAGTTTGATAATAACTACCTTGGGTATATCATAGTTATGGAGCCTCTAGAGCCACAGATTTTTTTTTAGGTGGCTGATCTTTTTTTTTTAGACAGATCACTGTGTATGAAAGCCTAAGAGTCAAGGAATTAGTTGAGACCAACCTACATGAATCAATCTTAAAGAAGCAAAAAATAAGAAACACTGCAAAGAAACAAAACCCATTAATACATTCCCCATTTGAGGGCATAAGCCTAATTTTCAGAATATTAGAGCAATAAGATGTTCCAGAGACTAGCAGATCTTGTCTTACTTTTATTTCTAATCAAAATATATGCAGACTGTCTTCCCATAAAGGCCCGTGGAAGCTGCTTCACAGTGTATTCATGCACATCACTAAACTTACAGTGACGAGAATTGTTCTCACCTGTGGGGATAAATGCCTGCTGAGGGAAATGCATGTTAGTCAGAGTCTGCTGGCAGTGATAAACATTGGGAGTAAACACCGGAGTGACACCATTGTTCTTCTCAAGGCCCGATCTTTTTGGCATCATTTGAAGTGTACCATTCTGTAGGGCCTGGAAAGGAAGGATGTATTAAAAGACAAAAAAGAAGAACAAACACCCAAGCAAGTGCAAACTATGGAAGGCACAGCCCTGTCATCCTCCACATTCAATAAGCCATGGCCAGCCAGCGAGCTTACCAGCTGCAGAAGCTAGGAGCTAGCTTCACTGGATGAATAGTTTAAAACAGAAAATAGAAATACAAAACAAAACAAGCATTTCAACATCACTAATTTAGACCTCATTTTGGATAGGACGTGACAGGAAATGAATTATCATTACAATGGACATCTCAGAAAATGCTCATCTATTAATCTACAGAAATGAGATTAGTAGAAGCAAATAGCAGGAAAGATTTTTTTTTGCTAGTTAAAATTCCAGTATGGCTCTAGGAGATTATAGATGATAAAACAGTATATAGATGAGAAAACAGATGTTGGTAGTCTGGTACTGTAGCCTCATAAAACAAAATCTAATTTATACAAAGACCTCAAGTTCAAATCTTACAGCTGTTTATCTCCTAACACATGCAAGGAAAAAGCAAATAAATCAGTCCTTTCCCATTCTCCACCTCACCCAATTAGGCAAAATATATGTAGTTCTTATTTATAGTGGCTTACTCAACATTTCAGTATACACTATTTACTTTGTTAAATTCCTGTGATGTTTAATCCTAAAATATAGCAGCATTTTAAACCCTTCTTTCATGTCTGATGTCCTTTCAAAATCCCAGTTTTTAAATCTGCCCCTAGACTAGATTTGTTGAAGAAGTTTAACATTACTTTTTTTTCTCTCAGCAAATTGTGCAGTACTTTAAAAACATGTTCCAGCAATACAATTAGACATGCTCCAAATTCTTAAGGAGACAGGAACACTTGTATTGAGCAACTAACCTTCCATGTGCCAAAAAGGGCCATGTTATGACCTCCTTATTCACAGAGATAGTGAAAGTCCAAAGATATCTCTATGTTGTTTTGGGGATTCTGCTGTTGATGCACATAGTTGGACATGTTTGCTTTTTTATTAGTTTATTTTCTTTCTTAAAAAGTCAGACAAGAGCTGGGAATGTGGCTTAATGGTAGAGTGCTTGCTTAGCATGCATGAGGCCCTGGGTTTGAGTCTTCAGTAACAAATAAACAAAAAATGAACTTAAAAAAGCCAGACAAAAATAAACCAAGTAGCTTTAGAGATGTATAATTTCCAAATGTATGTGAGAGAACCAGATGAGACAAAGGTCAGGATTAAAATCATAAGCTGCAAAGTATAATTTATTATTCCAAATGCCTTTTCTCACTATTAAGAGAAAATAGCTTTGCTGAGGATTTTTAACAGAGTGAGTTAGGAGACTATATTTCTGGTTATTTAAAAGATTTTTCCTTATGATGTAATGAAAGATGTCGCTTTCTCTAGAAAGTTATGATAATGGTGTGATCGTCTGAACCCAACTTCTATCACTGAGTAATCTACAGATACAGGAAAGACCCAGGTGCACATTTGTCTGGTAGATCCGCATAAAGTAGTACTTTTTAAATTTTTATTTATTTTCTTGCATTGCTGGATAGGTTAGTTGCCAGTTCCGAATGGGTGATGTTATTAAATATTGTTATTAAATATTTCTCTTATTAACATTGATTAGGGTCATGGTAGCCTCACAGACTCTCTAACTTGCAAAAACAAAAAAGGTATGAGAGGTTGGATGAAATAAATGTCAGCCCTTTAGGTCTTCTTTTATTTACTGCCTACAAGCTGCTCTCTGCAATGTCAATCGGAGCTACAGTAAAAACGTTTTTTAAAAAGCATACGTACACTGATTCCTCAGAAATACAGAAATATTAAATTTCTTGATGAATCACTCTTTCATTTAGTCTTACTTTAATCTCTTTCCTATGGGTCAACTTGACCTTACAGCACTTACGCTCTATTACTCAGGAAGAAATTTTATATCAACATCCATAAGTATCCATCAAGAGCTAGTATAATATTGAGCTCTCTTAATAGAAATGGGAAGCCCAAATGTAACATCCTGCTCCACCAAATGCACTCACATCCTAAGAAATGGGCCAATGCACTGGTTGTGATGACTAACATCTCTAATCCTCGCTACTCAGGAGCTAGAGACTGGGAAATTTGTAGTTTAAGCCCAGCTATGGCAAAAATATCCATGAGAAACCATCTAAAACAAAAAAGCTTGGCACAGTGGTAAGTTACCTGCCATCCCAGCTATGTGGGAAGTGGAAAGTTGGAGAATCATAATCTACGTCAGCTCCAGAAAACAAGTGTCTACCTTAAAAAATAACAAAAGCCGAAAAACTAGAAAATTTTGAAGTTTTTGGCTTAGAGAAGAGACATGAAAAGTGCCTCTTTGGTGAGATAGGGCTGACTTATTCTGTGAAGTTCCAGTGGTAGCAAGATTTTCACAGTATTTGATGTCGGTATAATTTGTGGAGGGGAAGGGAAAAAATAAATGGTTTAAATAGGGATACAGGTGGACCCATTGCAACAATGAGATGTACAAGTCATTATGTCAAAAAACAAACTTTACAACTTTGTGGGGGGGGTGCGGGGAGGATTGGGTGGATTGGGTGGGGGGCCGGGGTGAGGATGGGAAGAGATGGGAAGGGTAAACAAAGGAGGAGGCTACAATGCTTGATAAGAAATGTACTCATTACCTTGCCCGTGTAATTGTAACCCCTCTGTACGGTATTTTCACAATAAAAAAAAAAGAAAAAAAAGATGAATTTCACCTCAGCATGAGAAAAATTCTCTTAGTCGGGACATTTTCAAAGAAATTCCTCTCTCTCTTGCAAAGGCAAGAGCTGCTTGATGGAAGTAGCAACGCCATAAGAATGGGAGATGACTCATACGGCAATTTTCTGGGCTCTGGAGTTATATAGGGGCTTTTATTTCCATAGTTAGGGACCATGTAGTTTCCTCAGAGTTTTTTTTCTTTTTCTTTGATTGGATTTGTTCTACTCTACGACATGATATAAGTTCGAGATAACAAAAGACACAAGCAGCAAACAGCACAGCAAAATAATTCATCACTGTGACTCATTTGAGTAACTCTAATTCTGATTTCTCAATCTATCACATGACAATGCTAGACAAATATTTTCTCCTGCTTCCTACCTTCCAATGTTATTAAGTAGGACTACCTTTCCCCTGAAACGGACTTGCTACAGCAACTCAAAAGCCAAATATGTTCCTCTAGTCACGTCAAAAATCTCCCCCTAGCTATGACCCAGGCTTCAGCCTTGGTCCTCCTGTTTGTTGACACCATGCCTCCAGAAAGGAAAGATAACCCTGACCTTTGGGAACTGGGAAGTGCCTCATCCCCATCTTTAAAGCATTGTGTTTTTAAGGCATTGAGGACGTGAGCAGCTAAATGCTCATGACTGTGGTCACGGAGTCAAGACACAACTTTCTGCCTTGCTCCACTATTAAAGAGTAGTTAGACTACAAAAAGCACTCAAAATAATTTACTGTTTAAATTACGTAATTTACCCTGGCTCTGAAAGTGTTAGAAAAGTACAGTAGGTTCAAATAAAGCTTTTAAACAATTATCTTTAGAAACATCTTAGTAAAAAGAGATTTTTCTCTTTTCTAGCTTAGGACCTGGACTATTCATAGTTAGGACCCACTCAAGGATATCCAACATTATGGGTACAGAAATTAATAATATATCCCCTACACACACACACACACACACACACACACACACACACACACACACACACAAGAAAGAGCCCGCAAGTCTAGCCTGCTCTTACCATTGCATTGGCAGCAGAATGGTTCATCTGGTAGTGAGCTGCCTTAAGTCTGGCTTGCAAGTGTGGAGGAGGATGAAAGTACTTGCACTTCTCACGGGAGCATCGACCTTTAATGTAATCCATGCAGATCGTCACAGTGTTATCAGTCACTTCAATCATGGAAGCATCTGTAGGGTGTGCATAGCGGCACTCACTCTCCCCACGAGTACAATTTCCACGCTGAAACTCACGGCAAACCTTAAAGAGGAAGCGACACCCACATACATCACAATGATTACTACAAGTTGGCTTTTATTTACTTTGCTTTCTTTTACTTGATATACACATTTAGATATTTTTTCAGGAAACTTCTATAAAGGTGGAAGGATAATGCACAAAGTCATAGTCACGGTAAGATAGAAACAAAGATCATTGCTTTTTTTTTTCTTTTCTGTTGTTTTGATGCCGGTACTGGGGTTTGAACTCAGGGACTAGGTGCTGTCCTTTAGCTATTTGTTGTTGTTGTTGTGCAAGGTTGCTGCTCTACCACTTCAGGCATAGCTCCACTTCTGGCTCTATTTTTTGGTGGTTAATTGGACATAAGATTCTCATGCACTTTCAAATCTGGGCTCCAGCTGATGTTGAACCTCAGTTGTGTCAGACCTCAGCCTCCTCAGTAGCTAGGTTTATAGGTGTGAGCTACTGGCACCTGGTGACAATGTCTATTCCGAGGTACAAACTTCCATTCTTAACCAGGCACCAGTCTCATACCTATAATTCTAGCTAATCAGGCTGAGATCTGAGGATTGTGGTTCAAAGACAGCTTGAGCAGAAAAGTCCATGCCACTCTTATCTCCAATAAACTATGCAGAAAAAGCCAGCAGTGGCGCTGTGGCTCAAGTGGTAAAACACTAGTCTTAAGCACAAACAGGCTCAGGGACCGCACCTAGGCCCTGAGTTCAAATCTCAGGACTGGCAAAAAAATAACAACAAACAAAAAAACTTTCATTCTTTGCAAAGTGTGTTAGTTTGCCTTCCATTGACATAAAACTACTTAAAAGTGATGTTTAAAACCAATTTTAACTCTCCAGCTAATACACAGACTCAGATGTAATTAGATTTTTATAAGGTCTAAGGTGAGTCTTTATCACATAGTAAGGAACTAAGAGGTTCACACTGCCAATTTGTGAACCATGAATGAGTTACATGTATAATCAGATTCCATTACAATTAATGGCCAGGCATTTAATGGGCTGCCAATGGAGAAGACTAAGAAATCAACTTGTTTCAAAGAATGACAATTAAGGGGAAAAAAATGGAAGGACTTCAATAAATGAAATTTCTTTTAGGTTCTTTAGGTATCATGGGATATTTACTATGCAGCATATGTTAGACATGATATTCATTTACATCCTATGTTCATGTAGCTTTAAATTCTGTAATCATATGGAGTTAGATTCAGAGATTTTTTTTTTGGGGGTCCAGTCGTGGGGCCTGAACTCTGGGCTTGGGCGCTGTCCCTTAGCTCTTCAGCTCAAGGCTAGTGCTCTACCACTTGAGCCACAGCGCCACTTCCGGCTTTTTGCTTATGTGGTGCTGAGGAATCGAACCCAGGGCCTCATGCATGCAAGGCAAGCGCTCTACCACTGAGCCACCTTCCCAGCCCCTCAGAGATTTTTTTTCAGTTTACTACTCTACCAAGTAGAGACACAGTAAAAAAAAAAAAAAACAATAATCCTATTCTTTACACCTGGTGCTTGAGTAGAGGAGCATTTCTACCCACACACCCTGTGCTACTGCAAAGTTTATGGTGAAGTGCACTTACAATATTCACCGGTCTACTGTGTAGCTGAATCTGTGCACTTCCTAACAAGGTCTAACTGCAGTAGGAAAAAAAAATTAGGTGTACTTATTTAAAACATTCAACACATTAGGCTCTGAAAAAAATGGTACTTTTTCCATAAGGTTAAATCCATCTTTCAGTATTTACATAGTTCTTCACAGTTACCTCCAATTTATCTGAACGTATTGGTTTGTGGGCAGTAACTCCTGACAATGCAAGAGCTGGATTTCCAGAAATCAGAACAGGTGTATTTGGTAACAGTTCAGCAGGAATCAGGCTCATTCCAGGATGAGGTATGTAAGGATTGATAGCCATCGATGGATTAGCTGCAAGTGATGGATTCATAGGAAAAGAAGTCTGTATGTTTAAAAAAGAGTGAGAGACAAAAAAAAACGGTTAGAGATGAACATATTTTTATATTTTGACACAAGAAGATATTCCTGTAGAAATACTAGAATTTTTTTTGAGGGGGGGAGGGTTGGTCGTGGGGCTGAACACTGGGCCTGGGCACGTCCCTCAGCTCTTCAGCTCAAAGCTGGCATTCTACCACTTGAGCGCCTCTTCAAGGTTTTTCTGTTTATGTGGTGCTGAGGACTCAAACCCACGGTTTCATGCATGCAAGGCAAGTACTCGACCACTGAGCCACCTTCCCAGCCCCAAATACTAGAATTTCTTAAGCCTCAGTTATGCCACTAATTTTTTTGCATGATTTATTTGGAGTCATTATTACTATTATTATTTAATATCTTTATGTGCTTCTACAAAGGAGTTGCCATTTAACAAAGCAGATAATGAATACTAATGTCACCCCTTTCAACATTCTTACCCATCCATTCCAACTTACCCTTTCCTTTCTTAATTTTTCAGTCTATACACTGAATTCATGACTACATTCTCCCTTCCCTTCTACTCTTCAGTCATCTATCCCTTTCCCCTTGGACTTATCACATCCCTTGAAAGTACCCACTACTTGGCACTTATTTTGTTGAGCTTTGATTTTGCTTTTCTAAGGAGTTACACTATTATAGTCAGTATTAAAAACATTCTTTTTCAGTAACAAATTTCTTGGTAAGATGATAAAACAGGCCACTTGAGTTTTACCTTTCCTGAATTAGCTGAATGAAATCTCACTCTTTCTGATGTGCTCTTTCTAGTACTTGCCCTTTATACGGAACAATGTGCCAATGATGGCACATAAGTAGACCATCTCTCGTTTCCTCACAGAAGCATGGTCTTGCAAGTGGACTTTAAGAGAGTCCCCTTCCTTTTGCAGCCTTTCTCTTCTTCCCCACCAACAATGCTATGCTCTAAGGTTGCTTATACTGCTAAATTCTGATCTTCCAACTTCTCTTGGTCCACCGACATTTATGACAGTAGCAAGGAGTTGGGAAAGAAAACAGTAGATTGGAGAAAGTGAGTACTTTAACAACTTCTTGCCATATACCCTAAAATGAGATTGGCATGGTCATTATTGTATATTCTTTCTTTTAAAACTAGAGGTCCTATTTCACAAGGGAACCTGACTTGTCCAGACTTGTCTTTATCTAGGGACCAGATGATGCAGTTCAAATGGAGGCCCTTAAAATGCTAGAGGGATTACTGTAGGGCTAGAAAAGATAAGATAACAGGATTGTATGGTGCTCAATCTACAAAATAGCTTGTAAATAAATCCTTAGAAATTCAAAGGGCTATTACTGATTTATCTGTCTTTAAAAATCCTAGATTCAAAGAACTTGATAGGTGCAAGGCCTTTATTATCTGTTACCACATAACGTTACCCTTCTGGTTTCCAGATCATTCCATTGGAGCCTGTTATCTTCTCCATGTGGTTATTATCATTTCTTTCATAGCTCTCTGTCTCCCCCAGAGCACCCAAGATTTAGTGAATGACTTTGTAAATATGTGTGGTAAGTTTGAAAAATAAATGCTAACAGGTTAATAAATGATGAATGAATATTTTGGTAGTGACTCAATAAGGTTAGTGTTTCACTGTGTATTACTGATCTTGTGTGTTCTTTCATTTTCTTTTTGTGTCTTTCACTAGAAACACCATAAGGGCACTGCATTGTCATACAGAGCCCATACATGGAAAATCTGATTAATAGCAATTGCTCTAAATGCAGAAAGAACAGGAGCCTGTGGAGCCTGGAAGGAGCAACACATATGCCCTTCCCCACCCTCCAAAATGACTTCAAATTTTTACCAGTAGAGCATTTCCCAAAAGGCCATTATTATAAGTTAAATTTGACTTACATGGAAGTGCCTCCTTCCTTACCATTCCATCTTAGGAGGACTTACCAAATTGTTTCATTCATATGGTAGGAAGGACAGAAAGATCCTGGCCACAAAAAATTCATAAGATTCACCAAGGGCAAATTGAAAAGACACCATAGCTAAGAGCTTAAGAGGGAAGTACAACAATGGTGCCATAGAGTCCTCCAAGGAGGGGAATTAAGTGTGAGGACAAATAGCTGAGGGCTTATCCAACCAAATAAGACTTCTGATATAAAAGGAACGTGTCAAAGTTCACATTGAATGAGATACAAAACCCTAGGAATTAGCTGATGTGACATTATTTGATTTAATAAGAAGGAAATCTCTTGGAGACAGTTACCCAGGCATGCTTCAACAACAAGGAGGACTTTACTAATTCGGTGATTCAGTCATTTTCAAAATCAAGAATCTCTGATGGTAAAAACTCCACATGTGGTAGTCTTTGTTTTACTTTTTGTTTGCTCACTTTTGTGGTAATTTTCTCATTAAAGTCACAATTTGCATTCTCCTACATGCTTTTGTTTTTCTTCCTAAAACTGGAAAAGCATCATCCATTACATCTATTAACTATTGAACTGAAACAAAAACCGGACATGGGTGGATTTTCTAGAATGAAATAAAATCATTAATCACTAAAAATTCACTTTCATTTAATTAGTGATTAATATTTAAGGTCAAGGAACCTGTAACCAAACCTCTTTTTATGATAGCTCTACACTTCTGTAGTTTTTTTTTTCTTTTCATTTTATGAGTGACTCAGCAAGGAAAATGTTTGGGACAACTTTGCTTTCTTTGGAAAATACATCTATTTAAGTCTTTTATGTGTTCCAAGTGTATCAACAAAAGCTGTAAATAATCACTATATAAAAAAATGTGAGCGACTTGTTGAAAATGTTTAGATCTTTTTATACAGTGCGGTCTTTCAATTTTAAAATTATTACTGCACCTTTTATAACCTTTTCTTCCATGAGTATAAATTTCACTCTATGATACTATTTATTAAAAAGAAAGTTCTTTCGCTCACAGCCCAGGGGCAGAGGGAGGAGCTCTTGAGTGCTGACTTATTTTCAAATAGACATTTCTGTTTTCTTACTGTCACCTCTGCCTCAGGGTAACTATTCCATTTCACAAATTTGAACACTCAAAGGCTTAGCTTTGACTAACAGCTATGGGTTAAGTGAAGCAGCCTGCAAATTTATACATTCAACTTCAATAAGCAACTTAATCCCACTTCTATCTATATCACGGCTCTTCATGTCAATTGAGCTAACATGAACCTATCTGTGTGTTAATCCTTGTTGTTTTTATGGTGCTGGGAATAGAACCCAAGGCTTCATGCATGCAAAGTACAAGCTGTACTGCTGAGCTATACACTCAAGCCTTAAAACAATATTCTTAGTACATTGAATTTCATATCTCTTTATAGCCTGAAGTAGTCAGTATATTTAGTATTTAAATAATGTCTTTAAAACATGTAAATCTGAATGGAAACTATTTACTAAATATTTAAAATTTAACAAAGATTACCCTCCCAGAATCAGAGGTATGGATCCTCCTCTTTCTGAGTTTTACACAACAGTAAGAGTGATGAAGAGCACTGACTTTAATAAAGTCGATTTCTCTAGTCGTATTACCTCTTAAGATAGGAATCTCTATGAGTTTTTGGTGGCTTACATAGGCCTAGGAACTATAGTCACTTGGGATATGCCTCTGAAAATTCCTTAAATGTCTTCAGAACAGTGGCTACAAACTTCTTTTTATGAGCCTGAGACTTTTCTGAGAATCAGGTGAAAAGGACAGAACATTCATACCCATAGAAAAACTCCTATATGCACAAAATATCATACATGATCTTAAGAAGTTCAAGGATCGCAAGACATTCACTCCTGGTTCAGGGCTCAGAAGCTAAATGCTCTGGGGTATAGATTCAAAAGCCAGGGTCCCTAGGCCAATTTTGAAATAGTCCTGTTTTTGCATAGCTAGAAATCTGGAGGGGTTTTTTTTGTTGCAATTTTAAGTGGTTGAAAAAAATTAAAAGAATAATATTTGTAACATCTCAAATTCTTTTTTGTCTCACAGTTTATTTAGCCATGGGTAATTAAAAAAAAACAAACTTAATAGTCTATATATAGTGTTCCAAAGTTCATAAGTAATCAACCTTAATTCCACTATCTATAAAAGTTGAGAGCTTTTGTTTTGTTTTCAAGTTTTATGTGTGTGTGTGTGTGTGTGTGTGTGTGTGTGTGTGTGAGAGAGAGAGAGAGAGAGAGAGAGAGAGAGAG